GGGGCTGCTACGGAGGTAAGGCCTCTCCTGGGGCAGCAAGAGGAACTACTTACACCCAGTAATTATTAGGGAATGCCCGTGGTGAATTCACCTAAATCCTGATTCCTGTTACGTACTCTAATAAGAGATGGCCCCAGTGACTTAACGTGGGGAGACCGTACTGGTGACCGCACAGGTCCAGTGTTTGTGCTGAGAACGGAGAGCACCTGTTGGGTTGGGGTTGTGTCGCACCAGTCGACGTAAGGGTTCTCACCAGCTGGGGTGGTTCTCCCCTTCCAGCTCCCGAATTCCTGCGCGCGGCTGCACCGCTGCCCTGGTGCCTCATCCCGAGTCGGCAGCGGGGGCCGAGCGCCGCTCGTGCGATCGGGAAGTTGTACATCCAGAGCAGAGCTGGGACACCCCCGGAGCTGAAACCCCGCGCGGCCGGCCGGGCCCGGCGGCTCGGGTGTGGGGTGGCTGAGCTTTGAGCCCCGCGTCTCTCCTCTCCTTCAGGCCTCGGGCTCGCCTTTAACTTGAACCCAGCCTTGACCATGATTGGCAAGTACTTCTTCAAGAAGCGTCCGCTGGCCAACGGGCTGGCGATGGCGGGCAGTCCCGTCTTCCTCTCCACCCTGGCGCCCGTCAACCAGCTCTTCTTCGGCATATTCGGCTGGCGCGGCAGCTTCCTCATCCTCGGTGGTCTCCTGTTGAACTGCTGCGTGGCCGGGTCCCTGATGCGGCCCATAGGGCCCAAGCCAGACCAGCTGAAGAAAGAGCCCACCAAGGAGGTGCTGCAGGAGGCTGGGAAGGCAGTGAAGAAGGACGACGGGGACACCAGCGAAGAGCTCATCGGCGGAAAGGCCAAGAAAGAGAAGAGCACGTTCTTCCAGACGATCAACAAGTTCTTGGACTTGTCCCTGTTCACGCACAGAGGCTTCCTGCTCTATCTGTCGGGCAATGTGATCATGTTCTTTGGGCTGTTCACTCCCTTGGTCTTCCTCAGCAATTACGCAAAGAGCAAGAAGATTGCTAACGAGTCCGCAGCCTTCCTGCTCTCCATCCTGGCCTTTGTAGACATGGTGGCCAGACCTTCCATGGGACTGGTGGCAAACACCAAGTGGATCAGACCCAGAGTCCAGTATTTCTTCGCCATCTCTGTGATTTACAACGGGGTGTGCCACCTCTTGGCCCCCATGTCCACCACCTATGCCGGCTTCTGCATTTACGCCGGCTTCTTCGGCTTTGCCTTCGGCTGGCTGAGCTCAGTCCTGTTTGAGACCCTCATGGACCTGGTGGGAGCGCAGCGGTTCTCCAGCGCTGTCGGCCTGGTGACCATCGTGGAGTGCTGCCCCGTGCTTCTGGGACCCCCTCTGCTAGGTAGGGCATGCCGTGCTGGGGTCCTCTGCCCATCTCTCCAAGCCATGGGCAACCCCAGCACTGGGGCAGGGGCGAGAGGGGGGAACACTGGCCTTGAGGCTGCCCCTCCCTCTGAGCAATGGCTGAGGAACTGGGGGCTGAGCCCTTGGCACAGGGTGGGGGAGCAGGGGCTGGAGGAATAAAGGCTTGAAGCTGAGGGTGATGGGCTGGGGCTGTTCTTGGGAACATCTCCACAGCCTGGAGCAGTTCTGGGGGTATCTTGCTACGCTGTCCCCTCTCTGTCCCTCAGGGAAGCTCAACGACATGTACGGTGACTACAAGTACACGTACTGGGCCTGCGGGGTCATCCTCATCGTCTCTGGGATCTACCTCTTCATCGGGATGGGCATCAACTACCGCCTGGTGGCAAAGGAGCAGAAGGCAGAGGAGAAGGCGCGGAACGAAGGGAAGGAGGAGGAGACCAACGTCGACGAGGCGGAGAAGCAGAAAGAGGCAAACAACGACGTGGCCCCTTCGCCTCAGAAGAGCGCAGAGGACGGCGTCAAGGAGGAGGAGAGCCACATGTGAGGGACCGGTGTCAATCCCGGAGTGTCGGAAGCGCCGCTGCCCTGGCGCGGCGGCCGGGGCAGTGCTCCACTGGCGCTGGGCGGCCGTGAGAAGTGTTTAAACCAGGTGTTCATTTTTAACCGGGCTCTGAGTTGTCTTTCCAACAAAGGTAACAGGACTACACTCGCAGTATCCTCGTGCGTCGGGGGCCGGGGGGGCTTTTTATAGTCTGGCTTTTTAACAGTCACAGGGATGTACTAATACGTGCCTTACAGTCGCCGTGTCTAGCTGAACCTGGACGAGCCTTAACTAAACCGTGCTTTAGCTCTGTGTTCTGCTTGGGGTGGGGGGGTGTGCGTACGCGTGTGTCTTGGGGAGGTTTGTTGTTAAAAAGCCATAAAAAGCAGGATACTGGATTTGTTGGAGCACGATGGGCTTCAGGGCTGGCCCCGGATGAATACCGCTTCACACGCTTCTTACCGCAGGCCCTCCACGGAGGGGGAGATCCGGGCACGGGGCAAGGTGGCCTTCGGCTCCTGTGCCGGGTGCCTCCTGGCTCTGTAGGTGGTCTTTTAGGTATGTTTTGAAAACACTTTAGCTACTGTAGTTCTTTAAAATCCCTCCTTTGTAGTTGTGCTCTCATGGGATATCGGGGTTGGAGAAGGATGGCTGTCATTGGGGTTGGGCAGCGTTGCCCGCTGTGGCAGCCCCTGTGTGCCAAGCCCTCCGTGGGGAGGGCTGGGGTTCCCCCTGCCCACCGACTCTGCCCTGGCAGTGCCTCTTCTCAGCCCAACGCTGGGTGACGCAAAACGGGTGCGAACAGGGGGGCTCGGCTGACGGTGCCAGGTCGGGGTGCCGGATCGGTGCCTGACCCTGGGCACAGCGGAGGGGTGGGGAGGGTGGAGGTGGTACATCCCTGAGACAGCCCTTCTGTTTTCGCTTTTATCTCTTAGAGAAACCTCTTTTACTTGCTTCTGTTCAACTGAGATCTTAAGGCGGTGGATGCCTGACCACTCACATCTAAGACATGTAAGGGGGAGGAAAGAATTTGTACGTATTTATTTTTTATTTTTTAGCGCTGGAAAATATCTCAACGTACGTGGAGCAGGTTAATGGCTCTCAAGTTCTAGTAAATGTTGATCAGAAATCATGTAAGAAGCTGAGGTTTTTTTTGTTTTGTTTTTTTTCAAATAAACTTGGGTTTTTTTTACAATTTACCCATCAAATGTTGAACTTCTTTCCTAGATTCACACTTCTGTGTGCCATACAACATGTGTTTTGGGTTAGTTTTGGGGAGGGGTGAGTGGGGCTGTGGCCCTTCTGCCTGTGGACCTGGTGCCGAGTGGGGTGTAAATGACAGTGCTCCTGCTCGGGCTGCCCCGGGGTCCCCTCCTTGTGCAGTGAGACCCCTTCGGGCTTCATTTCGCTCCAGATCTCACAAAGGAGACCAGGGGCTTTTCATACGGTGGAGTAACTTTCATAAAGCCGACAGGGTGTTTGGTGCCAGAGGGTTCTGTTGCGCGGTGCCGCGCTGTGATACCGTAGAGCCAGGAAACCATTTTCACAAACGGTGTGTCTGGTGTGGCTGTGGTAACGGGTTCACATCACAGTGAATCTGCTCAGCCCTGGCCCCCCCTCTTTCCGTAGGCACGGACAAGCTGCCAGCACCGCTCCACTCCCTGCCCTGCGTGGGTCGGTGTGTGCCAAGGCTCCCTGCTGGGTGGGGGACTGGAGGTCCCAGGGCACTACTGGTCTGGTGCCTGTGAGGAGAGGAGCCACCGTCCTCTGCAGTGAGAAACCCTCTGCTCTCCCAGTACCCCACTGTCCCCAGGCAGGGAGTCTCCTGTCTGCCCCAGTCTGCGGTACCACTGCAGCTGTCTCTGGCATTACCATACCCAGCTCTGCAGTGAGAAACCCTCTGCTCTCCCAGTAACCCACTGTCCCCGGGCAGGGAGTCTCCTGTCTGCCTCAGTCTGTGGTACCACCGCAGCTGTCTCTCCCAAGCAGTGC